ATATTTGCCTAATTAGTATATTTACTATTATAGATCTAATAGAAGATATAGATCTAATACTAAACTAGATATTAACTTGACTTTTAGTAGTTTTATTAAGTTTAATACTATTATTAGTTTACTAGAGAGCTTGAAATTAGTTAGAACTAGTAATTAAATATCTAGAGGCTCCGGTATTAATTATAACTCTATTAAAGTAGTAAATATTATATCTTAATATACTATTAACTATAAAAGTCTGGGTATCTTCTATTAAAGGTTTAATAGACTTCAATATATAGTTTTTATCTATTATCTGATATATAAGGAAAAGAGAAGTGAGATTATTTATAAGAGTATTAGTTATAGTTATTAGTAGAGCAAGAATAGCAGAAGCGGCTAAAAAGCTCTTAACTAAAGTAAAGTAAAAATCTGAATAGTATTTCTCTTCTTTATTTATTTCTGCTAATAAAGCCTTAAAAGCATTATTTACTAGTTTATTCTTACTACTTTTATTACTCTCTTTGCCTTTAGCTTCGGTAATATACTATATATAAGTATTACTAAAATATTTATTAAAGTTACAGGTATTTCGGGATCTAAACTAATAAATATTTCTATTCTTAAATCGAGCCTTCTTAGCCTTTTATTTCTCTGGTATATACTTTTATAAGTAGTATTCGGGCTTCTTATATATAAAATATAACTTCGGAATATAATTATTATAATTATAGGACTTGAAGTAGTTATTACGGGTTCTAAAGTTATAGCTGGATTTATATTAATAATTTCCGGAGGAATAATAGCTTGGAAGGTTCTGAGAATAGTATTATTAATTAGTAAAAAAGATTTCGGAATTAGTTTATCATTTGCTTTTATATATAGTAATAAATAACTAAAGCTTATTAATAAGCTAGCCGAGATTTGCAGAAGGGTCTAAGATTATATATCTATATATCCGGAAGCCTTAGTAAGAGGTAATAATTTTATTATAAAGAAATTCGATATTTCGCAAGTTGGGTATAAAATTATACTATAGTTAATATAGTTTATTAATTAGTAGTTAAATAGTCTTAAAGGTTATTTTTTCCGGGAATTTAGCTATTATAGAAGCTAATATAGTAGCGTTTTATATATCTAAATTTCGATATTCGAATTTAGGGCCTTTAAAAAAGCTATAGATATTAATATAAGCCTCTTTATATATATATTAAGAGAGCTAGTTACTATAGAAGTAGTTTTAAACTAGTTCCTTTAGTATAATAGAAAAAGCTTATATTAGTACCTTTTATAGAAGCTTTATATATTAGTAAATATTAAGGAAAATAGTAAGTTTATAGTTAAAATTACTATTAAATCTATTATACTTTTATTTTTTAATATAAATCTTAGTAACTTCCCTAATAAATCTTGTAGTTAAAGGTAATTAGGGGGCATTCGGATATAGTTGCGGTAGTAGTAATAGGGCTAGTAGAAGTAATAGGGCTAGTAGAAGTAATAGGGCTAGTAGAAGTATACTATTTGCTTCTAGAGCTTTTATATTAATATATAAATCTAGTAAAGATATAGGATACAGAAATAGAAATAGTAATAATAGTATAGAAATATTAAAGATAATAGGTTCTAGGTACTTGTTCTTAGTAAAGGTAATAAAGCCTAATAGAATCGGTTCTTTAATTAGGTTTAGTCTAGCTACTAATAGATCCTTATTTATCTAGATATACTATATATCTTCCTTAATAATAGAAAGCAGAATAATTATAATAGTAAAAGTACTAGTATTCTATTATATATATATACTACTATATTAAAGGACCTTATATAGGTATAGTATTTCCGGAAGTTCAAGTTTATTAAAGTTCCCTTAATAAATAAAGTTCTTAAAGTTATATCTAAATAGCTCCCAAAAATTATTATTAACTATTTTATAAAGAATATATTAAAATAGCTTAGTATCTAAGAATTTAGATATCTTATATACTATAATAGTATCTAGATTAATTCTATATTTCTATTTTATTACTATTTTCTTGAAATTATTAGTTCTTATAGGAATAGAATAATCGGATTAGATAGATCTAATAAAGAAATTATCTGCTATAGTAGGTTCTGCTATTATATATTCTATAGGCTTATATCTAGTTCGAGATATAGTAATTTATAAGGAGGGTAGATTTATAAAAAGAAGAATAGTTTATAAGATAGGTAAGTAGAAGTTATTATATTTGAGGTAAAAATTTCGTCTATAATAAGAAATTTAGAAAGTGAAATTTAAGAAGTGAAATATTAAGATTCCGGAAGAATTTAATAGTTCTAAAGCTTAAGAGCTTCAGGTATTCAGGTAGTTATAAAGAGGGTAATTTTTCGTAAAAAAGGTGGTTTTATAGGATAGTTAGATAGTTAAATAGCTAACCGTTTAGTAGTTAGTAAGAATTAATATCTTTTCTCTTTATAGAACCGAATTATAGGCAAAGGCGACTATTATTTCCCCTCTTTAATATAGTTTAGTCGGGCCTTAGTAAGATTAAGTATTTTTCCCTTTCTATAAAACCGAATTATAAGTAAAGGTAATTAATAGTTATTCTCTCTTTAATATAGAATAATGGCTTTGCCCCTAAGAAATCGAATTTTTAGTAAATATAGCTTAATTCTTCTTACTATCTAATCTATATATATAAACTAATTAGTATCGGTTTACTAGAAATATATAGTACTATTATATAGTTATAAAATACTATTTATATAAAGTTAGTAAAGTTATTATTTAGAAGTAAGAATTATAGTATTATAGTATTAATATATAATTCCTAAATCTGCTAAGCCTAATAGAGACTAGCTACCGGTCAAATTACTAATAGAATATAAGGTTATATAACTATATCCCGTATTCTATATTTTATTACCTATATTCTATAACTATATATATAACTTCTAAAGAAATAGCTATACTAATATATATCTTGGCTTTTATAAATTAATAAAAAAAAGAATATTTCTATTTTTATTTTTATAATTATAATACCTAAAATTATAATATTTAAATATTTAAATATATTTAATCTAGAGCTATTAAATACTAATATTTTCATTTTTAATTATTATTTATTATAAATTTATTCGGGTTTAAATAATTATATTAAATATATATTTTTATATTCTAAAAATAAATAATAAAGATATTTTTTTATATTAGCTTTAGTTTTAGCCTTAATCTTAATCTCTTTCCAAAAACAATTTTAATTCTAATATATAATATTATTATTAAAGTTCTACTTTATTAAAGATATATTAAATATAGCTTTAGGTAATGGTTCTAGTAAAGGCAAAAGTAGTAGAAAAAGTAATAAAGCTGTAAATAAGTAGAAAGATAATATTTATAATATATTTTCTAATAATTCAGATTTAGTTTATAATATTTTTTCCCGTTAATATATTTAATTAATAAACTCTTCTATTTCTTAACTTCCTCTTTATATATAATTTTCTTCTTTTCTTTCTTATATATAACCTTCTTTTTTTCCTCTTTCTCTATAATAATACTTTAATTTCCTTATATTACCTAATAATATTATTAAAATAGTAAAGCGAATTAATAATAATAATAGTAAAGTCTATATTTTTTATTAATTTAATATTAATTTTACTAAGTCTAGAAAGCCTTATTCTATATCTATAAAACCCTTTATATTAAAGCCTCAACTACCTATAAGATATAGAAAGCAAGTATAAAAACAGATATAAGGTTAGAAGGTAAAGGGAAAAGAGATTATCCGTTCTACTATAGCCAGAGTTATACTAGTTCAGAGCGGAATAACTGTTTTTCCGGAGGAATACCAAAACTCTAGTTCTTTATTTATATATAATTAAATCACTTAATTACTTAATTACTCTATAACTACGATACCAGAAGACACTGTATTTGATTCTACTAATAAAGGGACCCTCTGGCCTAACAAGAATCTACTATATAAGAAGGGAGACACCTTTAAGCCTATATAATTGCCCGACTTTGGCTGGGAAATTACGCTTCCTGAGAACGCCTCTCCCGATAACCCTATTACCTTATTTACTATATATTATATACTAGAAATTATTAATTTAATAGTCGAGAAGACAAATAAGTATTAACGAGAACCTCAAGATAATTCCTGCCCTCGTATAAGAGTAAATCAGTAGTACCTAACATACTATAGAGAGATATATTTATACTTTATAATACAAATATATATAACTTTATATATAGATAATAAGATTGCAAACTATTAGAATATAAGGGAATTTACCCTCTCGTACCTAATTGCAAGCTATATAGGCAGGAACAGATTTCAGAAGCTTTATATATATATGTAATTATATAGAAAGGAGGCTAAAGGACCGTATAAGAAGGTAGCTAATAACTCTCTGTTTTTTTACCCCTTTTTATTAAAACTAGCTAATAAACTACCGAATAGGTCAAAGCCTTAAGTACGTATATTCAGGAGGTTAATTTAAGGGTTTGGAAGCCTGGACGGAACTTGGTAATTAATAAGATAATTATATAATTTGAAGGTCGATTAAAAGAGATAACTACTATTTCAAACAAGCCTATACCTATAGGATATAAGGTCTGGGGGGCAGCCCAGAGAGGGTTCTTACTCGTATAAAACTAGTATATTCCTGAATAAAAAAATGGACCTATAGAAGTATATATTCTATAAGAGCTTAATAGGATAATTAAGGCTAGAAATAGTGAAAATAAGATATAAGTAGTAGTCCTATATCTAATTAAAAGACTACTTAAGCCTCCTAAGAGATCTGGATATTACGTTTACCTTAATAATCTCTTTGTTTCTACTCGCTTCGTCTAATATATCCGCTCCCAGGGAGTTGTAATTACTAGGATATATAGAATAACTAGTAGCGTTATTAAGGAGCTTCTTAATCTTTAGAAATCGGACAAAAAGGACATAATCCCTTAGGAAGAGATATATTCTATATATATATCTAATAGAGAGGTATATTATATTAGATAGAAAGATTAAGCCTTTATTTTAATAATGTTTTCCTTTATATTAGGTAATAAGCGAGTTGAGAGGCTAAGGAAGAGGCCTAAGGAGACTTCTTCTAAAGCAAAGACTATGCAAAAACCCTTTAGTAAAGAGCCCGTCAAAGTACTCTCGATTTCTGTAATTGCAGACGGATATAATTATTATATAGGAGCAGTTAACGAGTTTAATTACTTGACTGCCCAGAACGCTGGTTTGCGGTACGTGGAGCGAGGAGGGCATTAAGTACTAGAGTACTGGCTACTTCGTACGGTTCTAATTAATTGCTATTTACTTGCTTTATATAGTAATATGCCAGAACCTAGGCAAGTAAGCTTCAGGAGCTAGCAGGATTTTAGGAGCTAGTTAATTGGCTCTTTACTTGTAATGGGAAAGGACTCTGAGATCTGTCCAAAGAGAAGAATATTACAGATTAGTCAGGGAGCTGATTTCGTACCTGTGGGATTGCACGAGCAAGTGAGGCTTAGTAAGAATGGAAGGTGTATATGTTATAAGGGGCTAAGATTTACGGACCGGCCGAAAAAACGGATTATACTAGCCCAAATTGGGGCTAATCAAGGCAGGGATAGCTCAACGCACTATACCTTCTTTGGCTGTAAGCAGTGCGATGTTCACTTATATAAAGAACGTAGTTGTTTTAGTATTTTTCATAGAGGAAAGTAGAATTGAAACAATTTTAGGGGGCAATTCAGCCCTCTAATTGGTCAGAATTAAGCGAAAACCGGTGTGCACGGACCAGTACAACTCTGGCCGCAGCGGAACGGATAGTAGAGGAGAATAAGGATACTAGAAAAGAAGGGGATAAAGGAAATATAGACAATTCGAGTAATATAGGTAGTACAGAGGATATAGAGAGTGAGGGAGATATGCCTTGTAATCCATGGGATTTGCCTTACGGACCATGCAAGCTAAGGGGGGGCTAGGAGTAGTCGAGAATAAGGCGTGTATACTGTACTGTTTTTTTTAGTGAGGACTCGCGGGGAGCGTCTTTCCTAGTTACGGGGTTCGCTCGAGTGATAAGAATTTTCATGGCTCCGACAGTCCCTCCTAAAGAACTCCTGCCTCCACAGAATTCACGTAGACCGTTAAAATCGCAGGAGCTCCCTCCTAAGTTACGGCGTTCCTTCCGAGAGTGCTAAGAACTTTCCATTGCTTCGACCATCCTCCTAAAGCCAACCTCCTCCTAAAAGTATTCAGTGACGTTCAAAAATCGCAGGAGGCCCGGTCCTAGCTACTTATCAGTGGTCCTACACGACCGTTCCGTGCGACGTTAACAATCCCGGAAGCTCCTCCCTCCTAGCTCTGACGTTCCGTCTGTTTCGAGGGCACTTGTAGTTGCTCCGACACCTTCCTTTTCGTGGCTCAAACACGGAATACACATGTGTCTCAAAGAATGGACCTCACTGCGTCTCGCAAGAACATAACCATTAGAATCGCTGGACGCTCACATTCCCAAACTCGACGGCCGGTAGCTCTTTCCTACCTCCGGGACGGGAGCGTTAAAATCGTGGACAACTTCTCTAGCTATCGCCGGATCTAACCTCCCACTTGGGCTCGTAAAGTCGAATACAGTAGCATGAGCCTCATACAGCAGCACTAGTACTATTATACTACTTTTCTCGTGTGCGCTGTTATCTGTCTGAGCCCGCTACAACGAACCTTGTCAAATATGAGATTTTGATCCGGATCGATCTGTTGGTCGGTGTAGTTATCTTGTTGAGTTACAACATATGTTTGACTTTGTTTGGGAAGTTAAGATGTTATGAGCGCTATGCGGTTTACATTTGGGGGGAAAGTAGAAGGTAGGGGAATGGAAGGTGTAGGTCTTAATGCGAAAGTGGAGGGCAATCTTGCTGGGTCCATGGGACGAAGAGTAGTTATACCGTATGGAGAGGAAGAGAGGAACGCTAGGGAACTCGTCTAAATCGACACCACTCCGATTGCGCAACCGCTGTTACTAACCGCAGTCCTGTGCGTTGCTAAGAACCTTTACCCGAAGGCCACTTCCTACAATCTAGTACCGTGTAAAAACAACCGCTGATCATGAGAAATAGACTTAACACTGCAGTAGAATCTACACAAAAGCCAACGACTACAACAACGGTCCCGTCCACCACGAGACCAACCAGAAAATAACCCCGACACGCAAAAATTCTGGTCATAAGACGCGGCGTGTCGGCACTTGATAAGTACATCGACGCAAACGAGTAGAGGCGACTTTACTCAAACCCGAGCGAAACTGAGGTCCCATAGACCGCCGGACGACGCACGCGCCTTCTAAAAACCTCATGAAAGATTTAGCCGGTACAACGATCAAAAAGCAAGGACGCACCAAAAACCGAAACCCGGGGGCGACCGCAAATTGCAGAGGACTACAGCGCTCCAAATGACCGAAAACACGAAAAACACATCCTCGCTGAAACATGAGATGTAAAGGTCTAGCACCGTGACACGGCCACTCATAGTGCACTCCAAGCAACGACGTCCTGACATCACAGATCCATAGGAAATTAACAATGGATATAAACTCCTTGCGTCGTACGCGCCAGTAACAACCCGTCAGCGTATTCCATGCAAACTCATAGGGGACCAGACACGAGTTCTAAAGTCGCTCCACCCTCAACCGCGGTCAAAGCGGCGTGCATCTACATGTGTCAAATCGCCATGGCCGTATAAAAACCACCACTTACCGCAAACGCAACCGCTTTGAACCAGTAAATTAATCGACCGGCGTTGGGATTGCGGCTCTCTTTCCCCGTGTAAGTTGGACGTTTTCGGATCGTCGTAAAAACAAAGACGCATCTCCGCGTAAGACCAAGTCTACTGAAAATCTCTCCCGATACAATACCAGGTCAAAGATCATTAAATCCCGGTTGCTCAACCCGGAGAGTTACCTTCGGGCACCTAGGGCATGCTTTCGACACTCCCTTGGCGGCCCTAATGTCATCTTCGCGTCGCGAGTCAATATATTTTTATTGCTGTCTATCGAAACTTCATCGACGAAACTGGTCTCACGGTGCCGCCGGTGTACACACTGATTAGGGTAAGCAAGGCCCAAACCTCTGTATCAGGTGCGATCGTTTCGCCCCCCCGGACCGAAGGTCAGAACATTTCAAAGTATGGACAACGCCAATTTTCCAAGTAATCCAAAAAAAAAAAACGAAACTAAAGCAACAAAGAAAAAAAAAAAAAAAAAAGAACAAAAAAAGAATAAAAAAAAAAAAAAAAAACAAAAAAAAAAAAAACAAAAAAAAGCGGGAACTGCGGTCCCGGGGGAAATGATCGCACCTGATACAGAAGTCGTGCCTGCTTCCCTATGACTCCGGTAATCGCCCCGATCAGCTGTTTTGGCTCTTCGCTTTTCACTAAAAAGAACTAAAAAACTAAAAAGCGCCCGCGCGTGGGGGGGGGGGGCGGGGGTAATTTTTTTTTTTTTTTTTTTTTTTTTTTGTTGTCGTGGCAAATCCGTTTCGGCATGTGAAAGAGTCTGGGCTGTCCTCCTCGGGACTTCCCGAATTCTGGGCGGCGGGCTGGACATGGATCACTAGGTTCTACTATCCCCCCCCTTGAATAATTACGAGTGGGTCCTTTGGTAACGCCACACTGAAACTTCGCCAGTATCCCCGAATTAGGAAATATCAGGTGCTTTCGAGAGCCGCTATTCGCTATAGACCCTCGATTGCGTGCCTTTAGTGGTGTGAATCGTGGCATGAGAGTGTGGCGAATATTGGACCCACTCGAAATTGTTCATGGGGGGGGATAGTACTGTAATCCAAACCATTCAGGTGTTTTTATCGGAGAATTGTGGGGTATGCGGCCGCTTTATATTTACTACGCACGGTCTTCCGCTCAGTTTCCATTTCAAGTTGTCTTTAGGGCCTTCGGGCTTAAAAACTATATTAGGCGTGAAGTATTGCGCATTTATTAATTATTTGAATTTTATTTAAGAGTTAGCTTATAAGAGACTATAGAGAAATTAATTAGTAAGAAAGAAATCGATATTCTTGTAGTTATTTCTAGGCCGTTAATGCCCTAGAGTTATGGGCATATGCGCTACGTGCTGGGTGTATGGGCCTATCCTGGCCAAAAGCTGGTCCGGGGTTTTAAAATCATACAAAAAAGGCGATCCATATGGTGGTCCCATATTTTTTCAAATAAGCCTTCATATGTGGGACCTGCCGTGGTAGTGGGAATAGTAATGGTCAAAGCTTGAGACTAGCATATGGTCTCCGTATGTGAACGGTGTATGGCGGTGGCAGGAGGGGCCCTAGGAGTGGAAGAAATACCACCAGATCAGGCTCCGATTATTGAAAGAAATCATCCCATGTGATAACATGAGTAAGGTTGCGTTTACACCATGCACCACTTGCCAAGTGGCTACCCCTCTCCCCACTAAGTCTCGATCCGACTCCAGTTTCCAGCCATTCTATTGGCCACCCTGGGCATGATTCCCCAGGCTGGTCAGTGGTATCCCTTCGCCCAATATCGTTGTACCTTGCGTCGCTAGAATTCCACTGGACGCCCAATAACCCTCCACCAGTACCACAATCGATAATAGCAGGAGCCATAAGTGGAGCAAATGGCCCGTCAAGCGTGGCAGCCATATCGTCATAGAGCACGGCCGAGTTGTGGGGATGGGTCAATGTGCATGGCTCGGAGTGAAACACCATCAGCATCCGTTGTGATCCGCCCTTCACACTTGGAGCTCGTGGGAATGGTGAAAAGGGGTGGTCTTGGGGGTTTGGCGAGGACATACTGTGGTCTTTGGGTAAATAATCGCACCCCTGGGGGTTTTGGTGTCAGCCTCAAATGGGGTAGATAACCAATACGAAAGGCAGATTTGACATATTTGTGGGGTCGAAAGTGCTAGAAGCAGGTGCCAGGGGTGTAATTATTTATCCCAAGACCACAGTATTGTAGCGACCCTGTGATCCATACAATTTCGGTAGCATTGAGACTCTCCCGACCAGACCGGAGGTTCGAAAAGTTCAAAATGTCTGTGTTGTTGCAGCTTGTCTGGGCAGCGGCAAGGTGGGCAGATAAAGTCAGAAAGGCAAGAAGCGATGGAGAAACTCTAAACAATATATTGCACGAGTAAAAGGAGCAGCGAATTGAAGGCAGAACTCACGGTTTTCAAGCTTGGTTGAGTACGCTTGGGTTGCAGAAGATTCAACAGTGTATAGGTCTGTTTAATGAAAAAAATTCCTCGTCCTGGTTATGGGGAAGCCCACTCCTTTATCCTTTTCAACTGCTCACGAACTTCATCACGTTCGATCGAGGAAGTTTTCAAAAGCAAGTGCGACTGTGAGATATTGCTATATACTCCGCCACTGATGTTTTGTTGCAAGTTGTTGGCGACTAATTAGTAAAGTATGGGTGGGTGGCTGTGTCTAAAGTTATCCCTTCGTCCGGTGAGACATAGTCCACGCTAGTAAGGGGGCCTGGCTCAGGGCGAAAAGGTGATAGATGACTAATAACTTTTTAAGCAAAGGTATGACTTTACAGTCTGAGCCAGGCCCCCTTGCTAGCGTGGACTATGTCTCACCGGACGAAGGGATAGTCACACATGTGGCGGTGCACTCTGGTCAGCAGTACTTCAAAGGTACTGTCGTTATTTTTATAACTGAGCGTGCTTCTACTGTAATCCGGCGGTTCCCTCACAGTTTCTACGGGGTTCCACGGGCTTCCATGAGAGCCCCACTGTTTGCTAATTATAGAACCTGACCATAACATAGCCTCTCTAAGCATCTTGATCAGAATGCGCCTCTACGAGAACAAAATGTGTAGTTGGAGGTTGATGTGCCTTTCTTCGGGTTAGGGTTGGCCAGTAATTAAATGCAAGTTTCGCCAACGCAACGCCATTCACCACCAAATATGCGGACCTTACTGTGTACATCTATGTGCGGGAACTGGCGCCTACTGCACTGTCTGAAAATTTTTGAGCACAGACCAGGGATACTCAAAGGTACCTTATGTGCCCACATTTCGCGGCATTCTGGTCCTAATATAGGTACTATAAAGTATACCTAGACATACAGTTTGAGAACACCACGTGATAAGTCGCCGGACAGTGCAGAGTGGAATGTAGAGTACAAGTCGCTCCTCCACAAAGTACAAAGCCCGTTGCTGGTGACACAGGAGACGTAAACCGCAAGCGGTTTGCCCAAAGGAACCTTGAGGAACGAAACTAGATATGGCGATTTAGAAAGTACTCAAATTTCCGGCACCAGAGGCGCCAGGTTGCTGGAGTCAAGGCGCAACTCATTTCAGGTTGATGTTCACTAGTACATCCTAGTTGACGGCTTTGCGGGCAGAATTCTGGTCTTAACTCACAAGGTCAATAAAAGACCAACAAGCACACCGGCCGGCAAAGATCACACAACATATCTAAGATTGATTGCAATCAGATAAAGAGTACTAGTGCCGTCAAATGTGGCCATGATCTAACATCCTTCACGAGCCATTTCCAACTCTTGCTTGTCCTGTCGCAACATTGTCGCCAACGCGTTAGCCACATTCGACAGAGACCAATCTGAGCCGTCCGAGCTGTAGCCAGAATCAAGTACGTAGTACGCTACAGTGATGATGAAGACTAACGGCAGTGAGATCACGAAATACATCCAAAACCTGTCGCTTCCCGGATTATAGGGATCAGCCATGCTGAAGAGGGACGATGTGTACGCAAGGGGGATGAAGATGAGACCGAGAAGTGTAAGTGCCTTTGCTCGTCGTGCTTCGAGAATGGACAGCTGCGTCGCTTTCAACGAGACTTCCTGCTCTTTTAACGCCTGACGATTACCTGCAATGCTAGCAAGGCCGGTGAGCGCCTCACTGAGTGTCAGGGTTTCCTGCAATAGTTGTCGGAATCGCGCCCGAAGATACTGAAAATCGATGGTACAGTCAATCCAGTCCGTCTCTGGCGCGTTCTTTTGGAAAGTTGGGTCTTCGAAGGGAATTCCCAACAACATCATGTTGCCCTCTAGGAACTCGCAGAAGAGTCGGGCTCGTCGACGCAATGCTCGAGCATCACTCCATTGAGACTCAACGCTCAAGATGCCAAAGTTAGAGAGATCTTGTTGTCGTTCCATGCGAGAACTGACTTTCCGGATATGATTGTCGAAGTGATTGAGAAGAACCAGGTAGTGACTTGCGACGATCTTTTGCACGAACATGAAAACAAGACCCACACCGTCGCCAGGCATACGGTTTGGGTAACGTTGTAAGTAGAAGCAGAGATCATCCATCAATGAAGTCCGCGGGGGCCCACCGTACCGATGAGACTCGCTGTTTGGTACAAAGTCAACGTAGCCCCCGTTGACCGCCTGTTGGTCTATTGCAAAGGTTTTCGCAGATTGACCGATTCGTATCGACCCCACGGGGGGGTCACAGAAAACAAGGACTAGAGGACGTTCAGCGTGAGAATTACTTGAAATGCACCGAAACCAACTGACCGTTCCACCCGCTACCGTCCCTTCCCTTTCTTGTCAAAATGCTGCATATGCAGGACGCAATCCCTATATTTGAAAACTCTCCATAAGATCGAGTTGCTCGAATATGACGACCAGTTGTTGAAGTGAGTCCGAAAGAATTCATGGCTTCTGGTGGAACAGAAATCAAGCTAGAGTAACTCAATCTCAAGCAGCCTGATGTATGCAGGGCGGATGGCAATGTGCGGAATCTTGAACCGGTCCTGGACATTAGCTGTTCAAGGAATACCGACGGGTCAATATCGAAATAGTCGCCTAGGGTAGCGATGAGATCAGGAGTCAGAGATTCGACGATGTAGACTTGCCCGCCGTTATCCGAAGACCGTCGCTGTTGCCGTTCCAGAAGGTACGCTTCGATCCCGGAAGGATCAACATGTTCCACGCCTTTTGTAAAACCGTCGATTCCATACTCCAGAACAGCGATCCTGGATACCTCGCTTGGCCAAGGAATTTGGGCCCATTTGGCCTTCCGTTCCCTGGATTTCAGCCCGGGATCGGATGAGCAAGAGATTTTGATTCGATCTTGATAAGGCCCAGGTGAGGCAAGCCATGCCCCATCTTCTTCATCTTGGGACATCTCCTAAAAGAAGAGGCGCTCAGAGGCCTGGATTCGAGAGGCTGGCTCTCGGAAGGAAGTTGAACAGGTGCACAGGATTTGGCCAGCTGCGTAGTTAGGTGGCGTCCAACAAATCGTCACCTGTGTCACGTTACCTCAGCAAGCTCAGGTCGTTGCTAAGGCAGCTAACCGCGCTATACCTAATCGGTGCGGTTCTCAAACCAAGGGCCTGAGTACCGTCTGCATGTCCGCACTTTTGCACCTAGGTAGAAAGAGAATTTTCCTATCTTCGTTCGTAGGCAGTTCAGTATACTGTACCTTCCCGTTAATGTTGTCCATCACGTGCACCGAAAAAGGAGATGTTCTACTGTCTTTGGCGCACAGCCGCAGTCGCACGTGTCCGATCCGAAGAGCAGCAGGTTCGATCGGATCCGGCGCATGGCACGGTCGGAAAAGTGTGCGATTTCGGCTATACCGTCGGCGGTGGCTTTAAAGGCTTTTTTCTTCATATAAGATGTCATGAGACTGTGCACTTGCAAATTTGAAACGTGAAGTGGGCTCTGTTATAACAATGAGTCACGGTACCTTTGGGGTACAACCGAGCAGGGTGCGCAGCCACAGGTGTCTGGATATGAACCCGCTTAAAAACAATTAACTAACAGATTCCGCGACACCCAATTCGCCTTCTACTATATAAATCAGCTATAAGTAAGAATAGTCATGGTTGGGCGGTCCATTCGTGAAAGGCATATTAAATATTCATGAATTAACCTCTTCCGTGGATGTGGGATGTGACAGTGCAGTCAAGGGTTGGGGGGGCTGGACTTCCCTGACACACGAGTATCCTGGTTCCTGGCCTCGCGATTCCTCGGCATCCTCGTTATCTCTATTGGCCTTGCCACCCCGTGTTCCCATTCTGATATCACGGCGAATTCGGCAACCCTTGCTTAGCAACGGTCCTTCTCCGGTCAGGGCCAAGAGAGATAAGACTGGGCGATGTGAAGCTCGTATGCGAGTGTGTTATTACAGCCCCAGATCGCGCTGTGGAACTGCCAACCGCATATGGATTCTCCGCTTTTTCGGGTGGGGCTGAACTACAGTATAGTATGCAAGATCCACCATGCAAGTCTGTCAGTACTCAGATTCATGAATCGGTTATGCCATTCATGAATACCAGTCTCCGTACCTTCTTGTTCCGGACAAGGCACGAATACTCAACTTCATGAATCGGCTATACCATTCGTTAAGGCCCCTTCTTGTTTCGACCCAGATATAAATACTCAGATTCATGAATCGGCTATACCATTCATAAATATAAGTCTCTTTATGAGTTGTATAGGGTATTCATCAATTTAGGCCCCTTATTACTTGACTGAACTTGTATACGGCCAGGATATACTTAGCATTATCAAGTCAATTGATGATACGAGCCTTCTTGCTCCGAAGGCTATACTCCGTATTTGCCATACTGACTACCGAGAGAGGAAGTGGATCTAGGAACGAGATATATCCATACGAGCTTGGCAAAATTGAACCTTTACAGAATGTTATATATACGGTACTCGATAACCAATCCATGGTAGCAGAAGCCATATCCGGTATATACAGACGAGAGGTATAATATCAAATAATGGGGCAGGAGAAACTTCTGCTCTGAAACTGTTTTTGGGCTCCCGAAGGCTCCCGAAATCAGTAAAGATAATAGTAATAACTTTCTTTATAATATATAACTATTAGAAATGTTTTTTATACCGACCTTTCCGGTATTATAAATATTGAATATACCAAGGCTGAACTTAAAAGCAAGCAAGAGGCGTATATAGCTCATTTCGTTAAGCTAAAACAGTTAAAATAAACTATCCAAAATCGAATTAATAAATATATATTATACTGGAAAATATTCTTCTACCTCGAAACAGCCGAGAACTACTATATATTAGTATACAAAATCTATAATATATATAAGGGTCGAGCAAAGAGAAGGAAAGGAAGACTAATAAGACCTGAGGACCGGTTAAAGAGATATATAAGCCAGTATCTGGCTAATAGATACCGGAAGCCTAATATAGACAAGGAAAATATCCTCTTTAATTCAATAATAGATTTCGAATTCGACTAGCTTAATAATATACTACTGTCTAAAGAGGATATTATTATTAGTACCGAGACTACTATAAACTATTTTTTAGTTATTTTAAGTAATAACGAATTCGTATATAGCCTATTAAACGAAATTAATAGAATTTCTAATATTATCTCAAGTAATCTCTTTAACTTCTATAATTTATAGACCTTAAGCCAATACTTTAATATACTATTATTAGTTAATAAAACTTGATATTATTCTAATAATATAAATTATCCCGTATCCGTTTCAGGAATACTTTATTTTAGAACGAATATTACTAGTAATAGTTGAATTAGATCTCTATAGCAAAAGATATATAACGGAAATTCTATAAATTTTAAATGGCAGGGCGACCTTATAAGTATAAATAAGCCATATATCCTATTAGGAAATAGAGAAAACTGAAATAAATTAAATGTTTTTATATTAGTATTCTATTAAATAGTTATCTAACCCGTTATATATAACCCAATAAAGTCTATAAATAATAATAGTATTAAAACGCAGTTATTAGAAGTACTATTCTTGCCAGAGAAAGTTAATAACGAAATATAATAACCAAAGGAATTTAATTAGATATAATTATATATATTAATAATAGAGCTAAAATCTCAGTTATATAAGAGAAGAAAATATAGTATTTAAAAAAGGCTTGTTCCAGCCAGATAACCTCTATTTATTAAATGAAATAATTTGGCTCTCTTAATTAAATAGTACTTAACTATACTAAGAGAACCAAAAACTCATATATCGGGAAATAAGAAAGATTAAATAGAACTAGAGAATAGAAGACCTGTTATGAAATACGGAATAGAAGTAAAAACAATTATTAAATACCTTTGAAATATATTAAGAATTAAGTCTTACTATATTTCTACTAGTATTATTTAAATATTAAGACTTGAGAGGTAATAACTAGTTCTGGTTAATATAGAAAGTTTAAAATTAGTTCTTATATAATAATTATTACTAGTATTTTATATATAAATAACTAGTACCAAATTCAATATCTTTTATTATCTTTATTACTAGTTTTTAATATTACTTAATTTTATAAAATTAGTTTCCTAATTAAAAAAATATTAATAGTTAGATATCTCTATTTCTTATTTTATATTACTAATCGAGCTTTAACTAAATATAGAAATTATTCGAAAATATATTATATCTTAAATTCTAACTATTTTATTAACTATTCTTTTTATTTTATTAAGGTACTTGGATCGGTACTAGAATAATTTAAGGCTAGGTAGTTTTACTAGAAAAGAGAACCCGAGAAGCAAAAATATTATTACTAGAATCCACTTTTATTTATAATAATACTAGAGTTATTACTATAGTTCTTTTTTTGGAAATAATATAAATATATTATTATACTAAAATATTTATAGAAGAGTTCTAATTTTTCAAATAATAATAATAGATTATATATAGGTAAATTATTAAATAAAATACCGGTTTCGAACTACTATAAATATTAGACTCTTTCTGAGTTTTATTTTTATTTATAAATAAGAATACTAATTAGAAATAGATATCGAATTATAAATAAACTATACTAATTAGAGATAGCTATAAAAGATAAATCTAGCTTAATTATAAATAGTAATTAAGAATTAAAATTCTATTTAGTTTTAATTCTTTCTATTTACTTTTTTTATTATTTATTATTTCTATTTATTATATTTAATAAAGAATTAGAAAACCCTTTTTCTCTTAAAATTAAAAAGGCATTTTTTAATTATATTATTACTAATAAATATTAATTGAGAATATATTTCTTAGGCTAAAATTATTAGATATTTAGTATTCTTAAATAATCCGGACTTTAAATCTATAAACTAGATTAATTTTAAGATTAAATTTAAGGCTTAATATTATTATAAATTAATTAATAATATATTTTATTACTAGCCTAATAAAATATATCCAGATCTATAATATATTATTTCTTAGAATAAAGCCTTTAATATTATTATTAGTAAATATCTCTAGCTTAAATATTTTAGCTAGAATATATTATTTTATATTATTAACTAAAAATTCTATAATATTTAAAAAAGAGAAATATTATTAGATTAAAATATATTATTTGAATTATATATTTAATTTTACCTATAAGATTAAAGCTCTAATTATAACTATTTACTAAACTTTTAAAAGAATATAGATTAATTTAATTAATATATATTACTAATTTTTTTAGAAAATACTTTTGGGTCTTATATATTAAAAATTATTATAGTAAGTATATCCAGCTATATACTTTCTATAATAAGTATATCGAGTTAATTATAGAATATATAGCCTAATTTATTATAGCCTTTTTCCCTATAAAGATTCTATAATATAATAATAGAAAGAAGTTTAAAGATATATTATATAGATCTAATATTCTTTTATTAGAAGCTAATAATATTTCAGATATATTTCTTATTCTTTTTTACTATTATAGAATTAAATTTCTTCTTAGATTCTTATATATATTTCAAGTTCAAGCCCTTACTAAGTAAATTAATAATATAATTAAAAATAAACTAGTAAGATAAAAAGTAGATTATAGGTTTCTACTTTAGTATTTAGGTTTAGCTAAAATTACTATATAAATAAACTTCTAGCTATATTCGATTATTAAGTCTATAATATTCGAGGTAGCCTTCTAATAAAATATACCTAAAAATTAGCTTATATATTAAGAGAAGAGAGATATAGAAGATATAGAATATAAAAATAAAGAAATATTTATAGAAGCTACTTTTTTAAAGAAACTATAAAAAGAGAATAATAAATAGATATTTGAGATATTTAATAGAAATAAGAATCTAGATATAATAATTCCTATAATAGCCGGTTTTAATATATTAGCTTAAATAGCCTAATTATACTAAAAACTACTAGAGAATAATTCCAAAGGTTTCCTAGAATTATTATTAAAAGCAACTTTATAGCCTAATATTCAAATATATTTTATTCCGAAAAATTACTAAAAGCCTCTTAAATATATAAATCTGTTATTATTTTTAATCGAGCTTCTAAATCGAGACTTTTCTATAGCAGATAAGAATCCCGAATTAATAACTATTCTAGCCAAGCTATTACTAATTTAATTAGAGTATTTTATATCCAAATAACCGATTATATAAGCTGAAATATAAGATAGAGATCTCGAGTTTTATAGCTAGAAGATTTCATATATTTATATATTCTTAATTTTCTGAGAACTTAATAAGAAAGAGCTTATTAGACTTATTTCTAGAGACTAATTGAATTATATAGATTTATATAAGAAAAATTTTAATATAATAATACTTATTAATAGCTAGCTTTTTTACTGGCTCAAAGATTTTATTTT